CGAGCAGGAGAGCAGACCGCGATTCCTCGGAGCGCGAGAATAGGCTTCTTCCATTTCCGTCCGATCAAATCGGTAGGATCCCCTTCTTCGTGCTGATCGTGGTCTGCAAGGTCCATTTCCGTCCGATCAAATCGGTAGGATCCCCTTATTCTGCAAGAACAATCCGAGGTGAATCGAAACTCTGCAAGATTGGGTTTCCTAGATTTTCTACCTTATGTTTCTCATCAGATGATATGTAATCGTCTTTGATGTGTCGATTGATTTATTATTTTCTTTTTTTTATGATTCACGAGTACTTCTAGTTACAGTATTAGATTCATTGGTAAGTTATGTGTTACTGTTTTCCGTTTTCTCTCGAATGCTTGCCTTTGATTTACGCCCTAGTATTATGATTGATCGAGGTTTCTGGTTCAGATGGATGAATGTCTAGGTTGTGAACTATGATTTGAGAGATTATTGTGCGGGGTTGCTTCTGTAAATGGGCTGCATTCCATCAGAATAAGTTGCAAATCGGTTTACTAGGCATGAGGACTCTGTGATTATGGACTTTCAAACGGCAATTGATTCATCGCAAAATTGAGAAGAAAAAGAAGGAAATCTGTAGGTTCTCGTTTTTTGAGATTGAAGAAGACACGATCTTCTTTGGAAAGCAAAAACTGCTTATATTCTTCCCAAAAGCTCTCTGACCTTCACTCTCTTCATTCCCCACGTTTCATATTCTCTCATATTGCTAAAATTGAATATAACAAGTCGATTCTTCACCAAAACAGAGAGGAATAGAAAACCTGAGAGAGTTTTCAGTTTTCAGAAGTGAAGCAACCATACCTCTTTTTGGAGAGGAAATCATCTATATATCTCTTCCATATTGATTTGAGAAACCAATCACAGCCTCCCTGCTGAAATTTGAATCCCAGATTTCTCCATTGCTCCTTGTTTTCCCTCCAATCCTTTATTCTCTTCAGAAGTTGATTCTAGGGAAATTTTCTGGAATTCCAATTCATTACATTGCTGAAATCTTGAGAGAGCTGAAGGACTTTTCTTCATATTAACTTCTGACTGCCATTCAAGAACTATCCTCCTAGCTTTGGTAAATTCCCTACAACCTTCTCTTCTACCTTCAAGAATTCCTCCATTCTGCTTTCAAGAAACTTTTAGCATTCCATCTGTTTAGTAAATTAGGGCGAAGAAAAACAAGAACGATACAAATCCAGAAGAACACAGAGATTTAACGAGGTTCGGCAAAGATGCCTACGTCATCGGAAACAGAGCGGCGACTTCCTTTCAATATTCAGAAAAGATGTTACAAAATAGAGGGATACCTCCTGGGGTTACTAACGGACTTATTTATAACCACGGGAGTAACCCTAGGCACAATATGTAATTACAACATTACCCCTGTACCATACCGCGGGGCTGCACCCCAACCAACGTAACTTCCCAATTTGGACAGATTCTTCCGTTCTGCTTCGCTCCGCTCCGCTTCATTCTAGCGTCTGTTCCTATATGGTATATGAGTCATACCATAACAAATCTCCACCTTGGCGAATATCCAGCCCTTTAGGAGAAAAATACCTGGGAGTTTGATCTGCACTACTGCACCACCGTGGGTTGGGCCACCATGATTCTCTAGCAACTGCAAACATTCAACAAGTCCAAGCAATGCAAGAACTTGTTGATGGTAACTGGCTTGGTCAACATATCAGCTGCATTCTCATCAGTATGAATATTCTGCAACAGTATCTTTCCAGAAGCAATCAACTCTCTGATCTTGTGATACC